GAGCTCTTAATAAATTACCGCTCATAGGATGAGTATAGGCTTCCTAATAAATTGCCGCTCACAAGTTGAGTATAACATGCATAATAAACTACCACTCACAGGATGAGCATTGTGTACACAAACTAGCCACTGCTGGCGACATCAGTAAATAAAATAAGCATTTGACTCGTGGCAGAACTCATGATTGACAGGTGTCGGTGGGTGGGGCTGCCAGCTGGCGCCACCAGGGGACGCAGGTGGTGGTGTTGGTCTACCATGAGGTAATGTTGGCGGTGGTGGGCGTATAGCAAGATGTTGTTTGGTTCATTTATTATACACCCCATATCCATCCTGTGTTTGATAGTTTACCATTTACCCTTCTTGTGAGTGGTACTTTACCATATATTCATCCTGTGTGTGGTAGTGGCTTAATATACCCATCCTGTGTTCGATAGTAAACGTATTCTATATCCATCCCGTGAGTGGTAGTTTACCCCATACCCATCTTGTTAGAGATAGTGGATCCTATATACCCATCTTGTAAGTAGTAGTGGACCCTAAACTCATCCTGTGAGTGGTAGTGGACTCTATACCCGTTCTTGGTGGTAATAGACCCTTTTCCTCATCCTCGGAGTGGTAACGGGCCGCATATACCAATCCTGTGAGTGTTAGTTTTTTTTGTTTTTTTTTACAGGGATATTCCTGCGCGGGCCCCTAAGCCTCTGGCTGGCCCACTAAGTGTTGCTTGTTTCTGTTTTACCTGGGCGGAGTATGAGTATTTATGACTCGTATAGTAGCTTCAGTAAGATTTTGTCCCATGTGTTTAACAACTTCTTCTGCTTTGTTGTAATCTTAATGGGTTTGTAATTCTGCACTGTGTTTGATAATGTTCCAGTGGTCTGTCGGGCATTTCTCCACAGTGCTGATCTTCCGGAATCTGTAAGCCTATTTCCCATACACATGGGTATCCAAGCCTAATGCGATGTTAGTGTACTTCTGTTGCTCTACTGCTCCCTTTCATCAAACTAGGTGGTTAGTAGTTGATTGAATTCTTGTACCAACCCACAGATCCTGATATTGCAACTGCTGTGTTGTGGTCACTGTACATCTTTTGCATTGCTCTGTTTCTAATTACTTTTTTAATCTGTGATAGACTCTGTGGTATTTAAATGTCTACATTTCTTCTCTTAGTTGCAAGTTTTGCGGCTTCGTCTGCAGTGTCATTTCCTATTACTCCCACATGACTTGGCACCCAGTTGATAAGTACCTGACAGCCGTGACGTGAAATAGAAAGTGAAACAGGACGTGAAATGAAAAGTGAAACAGGACGTGAAATGGAAAGTGAAACGTGTGTTGAAGAAAGTAAGGAAGAACATGACGTATTGATGATAGTCAGGAAAATGAACTTTCTAGTAGTGTTAGCGGTGTTCAACCTTCTGTAGTGACAAATGTTGAAACAAAGGTTAAAGTAAAACGGTATAGAGAAATAAAAAAGAAAATAGATATGATATCTGTACTCACTGAATTGTGCGCCCCTTGAGGGACTTGAAATAGAGGGGGGGTTAGAAATAGCCTAAGCTACTTTACCCCTTTGAGATGTATCTTTTTTCTTGTCTTAATAAACATACTTGAACTTAAACTTGAATAAGGAGTGTAAATTATGTAGTATACCGCACGCCCACACCTTAGAACATCATGTATTAGAGTGTCAACTTATACCTATAGAAATACGGAAATAAGTAGTGAAGCACATCAAATTGTTTGGATGTGTGATAATGATATGATAGACAGTATACCTAGGAGCTACAAGAATTTTGCCCCAGGAGTGTAACACTTATATGCTGTGCTTACTATATTAACCTGCAATGTTAAATGGGATTCTTGTATTGTGATTTGTGTGCCTTGAGGGACGTGAAGAAGAGGGGGGTAGAAATAGCCTAAGCTACTCTATCCCTCTGAGATGTATTTTTTCTTGTCTCAATAAACATACTTGAACCCCCCAATATTCGCTTAGCTAAGCAAGTTACAGCATTGATGAGCTGTACGTGAGCTATAAGGTACTAATAATCCAGTGTAGCAATAATAATAGGATGAAGAAAACGAGAATAATAATTATAAAATATTCGTAAAATATAAATAAGAGCATATATTACTGTGGGTGTTTGTATATACAGGGATTCCATATTTACATATAAAGTGTATAAATACATTATGGCTTCCTGTCCCTGACACAATTAATTATTATTATTATTATTATTATTATTATTATTATTGTTATTATTATTATTAAATAAATCTATTAATATGTAAAGCGTTTCGAGCATAACTTAAAATAATTTAGTTAAATTATTTATTAGGCTTGAGGATACTAAAGGAGCAGTCAACTAACATATATGAGTTATTTATGAAATTTAGCAAATGATATACAATATATAAGTGATAACGATGAAAGACATAGACTACCTTATCATATAAGCTATAGTTTTCGACACGGTACAGCTGGAATATTTAACATTTACAATAACAACAAAACACAAAATTGGCTTATTTTGGATGAGGAAATGTAAGTGAGATTTGTTACATCATGTTAATTAGACATAATTATAATTAATAATTATTTCTTAGTATCTATTTTTAAACTGGTTGAGAGACGTAGAGCTTTTAATCTATTTGGAAGGTCATTAAATCATCATTAAATTTTTGACCGTCCATTATTAAATTTGCAGATTACACTAATGTCTATGGTAAAGTAGGAAGTGGAAATGATACCGAAGCCTTGGAAGGAGAGCTACATGAGCTCTACAAATGGTCAGAAGACTGGCAAATACTATTTAATATCGAAAAATGCGAGACCTTGCGTGTGGGGCATAACAATACACATCACAACTACCAAATTAGATCGAGTTAAAAAAGGACCTTGGAGTCAGAATTCAATAATCTTTGAAAGTTGCATTATTGAGAGTTGCAGTAAAAAAAAAAAAACAAGCCCTAGGAATAGTCAAACGTACCTAGCTTTGACTTCGAGAAAAAGAAGGTTAGTTATTCAAGACCCTAGCTAATTGTGGGGCAACACAAACAAGGAAGAAGGGGGGGTAGAAATAGCCTAAGCTACTCTATCCCTTTGAGATGTTTTTTTTTTCTTGTCTCACTAAACATATTTGAACAAGGAACAACTGTACAACTGTTTCAAGCTCAACAACGGGCCACAGTGTAGGACTGAGTTGAGAACAGGAGATGCGTTTTCACACACAGGGTTATTAACCCATAGAACTTCTTACCCGTCGAAGCCGTAAATGCCAAAACGCTGTTCACTTTTAAAGTACAGCTGGATAAGATCATTAAGGCAAATAGGGGGGTACCTTCGACAAGCCGCCGGCTTCCTGTCCTCGTCGAGGCCACTAGTGTTAGTGGCTCTCAGGTAAACTGTATAAATCTCTCCATCACTTGGATTATTGATTCCAAACATGGAGACCTCATTTTCAGGAAGACATATAGCCGCTGTGGAGAAAGTTCAACACAGGGGCAACAAAATTCATTCCAGAACTAAGTCAACTTTAAGTTAGCCAAAGGGCTAACAACACTGTAAACCAGACATGACGTCAGGGCTGACCTCATCGAAACTTTTAGAAACATCGAACAATTTGGAGGATATTGATGCAGACTACTTCTTTTAAAGGTCAGATGTAACTCAAACAAGGATCAATAACGGTTTCAAGCTCAACAATAAAGCCAAAATGTAGGACAGGAAACAGGAGATGCTTTTTCACCCACAGGGTTATAACTGTTTCACCCACAGGGTTGTACCTGTAAACATTTCTTTTAATTTTGCTAGATATTACCTTCTTAAAATTATGTGTTAGATTAAGGATCAGCCCGAAACGCTATGCGTGCTAGTGGTTGTACAAGAAAGTAAAATTTCAATGCTCTGTACTCTCATAAACCCAATGTATCTTCTTGTATACAAATAAATAAATAAAAATAAAATCCATGGAACTGCCTACCCACCGAAGCCGTAAATGTCAAAAACACTTGCAATTCAAGATCAAGCTTGATAAAATCATCAGGACACATGTGGTGACCTTTGACAAGCCGCCGGCTTCCGGTTCTCATCTAGACCATTAGAGATAGTGGCCAGAAACACAGAAATTCTAAGCTTTCGTCTATATATTTAAAGGCATCTCCAAGATAATATATATATATATATAAAGAATGTGTTGATAATGTGGAGGAAAACTTGGAATATTTTTGTTATTCTTTGTGAGTTTTAAAAGTTCGTATGTACCATTTATTTATTGATTTATTTATTTATATACAAGAAGGTACATTGGGTTTGTAAGAATACATAGCATAGTATTTACAATCTTGTAAAGCCACTTACGCGCAGCGTTTCGAGCAAAACCATTACCATTGTGGTTTTAATATTTATATATGCATATGCCCAGTGTAATATGTGTATGGCATAGTGCAGCACGAAGTTTCCTAGTTTGCATGGCGCCGGCAGCCAACACTTGTGAACAAAAACTCGTCCCTTCCGAGAATATTATATTGCGTTGGCTGTCATTAGTCACGCACACGTTGCTTGGCTTTCTTGCCCCTTTAACTTATATATATTTATCATATTATGCAGACTTCATTTGAATAATTGCAAATATACCATTCTGCTGTCGTCGTTTTCATGCTCCTCATTCTGTTGTTTTAAGCATACAGCAGTTAGTATATGTAGTTAAAAAATAAATATGTCGTATGCATGATTGGGGGAGTGGTGGAGGGTTCCCAGGTTCAAAAAGGGCCAAAAGATGTGTCGTTCTACGTCATCGCTACTATTTTTAAACAAAAATTATCTTATTCTATTCAACCCTAACCTACCCTAACCTATTCTAACCTACCCTAACCTAACGTACCCTAACCTAACATAACATGACGAAAATATAAGACTTTTTTGCATATAAATATAAGCTGTGCGAGGTGTGATATCGATGTGACGTCACTGGCTTGTTTACGGGACGCTTTTGGGATACTTGTGAGAGCACTTGAGTGTGAAGTGTGTAGCTGTGCGGTGTTCACCTCTCTCTCTGTCTCTCTCTGCTGCTCTCTCGCCCTTCCTCCTGCCACCACCTGGCTCCTGGAGATATATCTTAAGACACTCCTGAGATAACTGAAGTAATAGTGCTTGGGAGAGGCTGATAAGAGGTGGAAAGTGTGATCTTGCGTCCGATGCTTGTTGACTAGTTTTGAAAAGTTTGGTGGAAAGAAAACGTTTGTTGGATAAAAGAAAGCATGGGAAAGTTATATGAGTGGTTCAGATAGTGTTATGATAGGGCTGGGATAGCCATACGACAAGATGGGATGACAAGACATCCTGGGCTGGTCAGCCATACAGTGACCCCTACACTGGTCAGCCATACGGCGGCCCCTACACTGGTCAGCCATACGGTGGCCCCTACACTGGTCAGCCATACGGTGGCCCCTACACTGGTCAGCCATACAGTGGCCCCCACACTGGTCAGCCATACAGTGACCCGTACACTGGTCAGCCATACGGTGGCCCCCTACACTGGTCAGCCATACGGTGGCCCCTACACTGGTCAGCCATACAGTGGCCCCTACACTGGTCAGCCATACGGTGGCCCCTACACTGGTCAGCCATACAGTGGCCCCTACACTGGTCAGCCATACGGTGGCCCCTACACTGGTCAGCCATACGGTGGCCCCTACACTGGTCAGCCATACGGTGGCCCCTACACTGGTCAGCCATACGGTGGCCCCTACACTGGTCAGCCATACGGTGGCACCTACACTGGTCAGCCATACGGTGGCCACTACACTGGTCAGCCATACGGTGGCCCCTACACTGGTCAGCCATACGGTGGCCCCTACACTGGTCAGCCATACGGTGGCCCCTACACTGGTCAGCCATACGGTGACCCCTACACTGGTCAGCCATACGGTGACCCCTACACTGGTCAGCCATACGGTGGCCCCTACACTGGTCAGCCATACGGTGACCCCTACACTGGTCAGGTCAGCCATACGGTGACCCCTACACTGGTCAGCCATACGGTGACCCCTACACTGGTCAGGTCAGCCATACAGTGACCCATACACTGGTCATGTCAGCCATACAGTGACCCTTACACTGGTCATGTCAGCCATACAGTGACCCCTACACTGGTCATGTCAGCCATACAGTGACCCATACACTGGTCAGGTCAGCTATACAGTGACCCCTATGCTGGTCATGTCAGCCATGCAATGACCCCTACACTGGTCATGTCAGCCATACACTGGCCGTGAAAGCCATACAGTGACCCCTACACTGGCCATGTCAGCCATACAGTGACCCCCTACACTGGTTAGGTCAGCCATACAGTGACCCTTACACTGGTCATGTCAGCCATACAGTGACCCCTACACTGGTCAGCCATACAGTGACCCCTACACTGGTCAGCCATACAGTGACCCCTACACTGGTCAGCCATACAGTGACCCCTACACTGGTCAGCCATACAGTGACCCCTACACTGGTCAGCCATACAGTGACCCCTACACTGGTCAGCCATACAGTGACCCCTACACTGGTCAGCCATACAGTGACCCCTACACTGGTCAGCCATACAGTGACCCCTACACTGGTCAGCCATACAGTGACCCCTACACTGGTCAGCCATACAGTGACCCCCTACGCTGGTTACATTACGTCACACGGCTCCCATATACCTCAACCAATCTTTACCAAATGTACATTAAGAATGTGTGAGGGTATCAGGTCAAATGGTAGTCAACATTTCTTTAGGTCAGATGAAGGTTGGGATCATTTATAGGTACAGTACTGTCAAAATCATTAAGGTCTTACGGGCTATTCAAGCCCGTGCTACCTCTTGTGGCTTAATCTTCAACATCATTCAGGTCACTTATTTATTTATTTATTTATATACAAGAAGGTACATTGGGTTTATTAGAGTACATAGCATTAATGTTTTTACATTCTTGTAAACCCACTAGCACGCATAGCATTTCGGGCAGTTAAAGCGCATAGCGTTTTATGGACACTTCGTCCCTATAAAAGTTCACTTACTGATATTAAAACCTCTAGCCTAACAAAACCAATTCAGTCCAAATTTACATAACTTAACCTAACCTAGCATATTCGAACTGAACAATTAGAAAATAAGCTTTGTTGAAATGGCTGTCTACAACAATGTGATGTCATAAAAGAAATTTTGCACATACCGTAGTTTTTCAAATTCTGAAATCTTTATATTGTAAGATGTGGCTTTGTTAGGTAGGCCAAGTTATTGATGTTCATTGGTGAACTATTATGTATGAAGTTACCTGTATCCCATTTTGCGTATGTCAAGGTTATATGGGTCACTTCATATAAAAGATAGTTTGTCAATGGATTTTGAAACCAACCCAATGAAGTCAAATAATATATATAATACACTGTATATATACAGTACAGCATATATATAATATATTTGGGTCCCGGTAGTACAGTCGGGTTCGTTCTCGACGTATAATCAAGAATTCCGGTTTCGTATCCCGGGCAGGACAGAAATGGTTGAGCCATTTCCTTTCACTTAATGCTTCTTTTCACCTAGCAGTAAGTAGGTACTCAGGAGCGAGTCAGCTTGCTGTGGGGTTGCATCCTAGGCTGGGTCAGTAATTAGACCATGGGGGGGGGGCACCTCTGTACTCAATATTTTATTTTTATTTTTTTTTATTCTGTACAAGAGTTCTTACATTCTTGTACAGTCACTAGCATGCATAGCATTTCAGGCAAGTCCTTAATCTTATGTTCCCCCTGACTACGACCCACCAAATCGTTTAACAACCAGGTACCCATTTTACTGTTGGATAAACAGAGGTTACAGTTAAGGATTTGCGCCCAGTAAATCGTCCCTGGCCATTAATTTTTATTAATGTACATCTTCTTGAGGTTATCTTGAGATGATTTTGGGGCTTTAGTGTCCCCGCGGCCCGGTCCTCAACCAGGCCTCCACCCCCAGGAAGCAGCCCGTGACAGCTGACTAACTCCCAGGACCCTATTTTACTGCTAGGTAACAGGGGGCATAGGGTGAAAGAAACTGCCCATTGTTTCTCGCCGGCGCCTGGGATGAAACCCAGGACCACAGGATCACAAGTCCAGCGTGCTGTCCGCTCAGCCGACCGGCTCCCTCGACCGGCCAGGATACGAACCCAGGCGAACGTCGTACCACTATGCCACAGGGACTGAAATAAGCCAAAAGTGTATAAATACACTCTAGCTTCCTGTCCCCCAACACAATGAATTGAATTAAATAATTAAATATTTGAAAATGGCTATATGCAAAGCACTTGTGTACAATTTGATAGTTTCTCATCTATTTATTTTGCATCAGCCTGGGCTCCTTACACCACTCTGTTTATATCCTGAGATATATCAGCTCAAGTAGACAGTTCTTGATTGTCCTCGTGTGATAGGTCTCTATATACAGGTACTTCATTCACAGTTAAGGCTGTAGAGTAGTAAACTTGTATACTGTCAATATTTTCATTTTTATATATTCATTCATTTCTACTGTATCACAATTTTGAAATTATTAGGGGAAACTAATAATAACTGTTATTACTATTATTGTTAGTTTCTTCAAAGCTATTATATTCTGTTAATTTTGGATGGTATTTGCAGCTGCTTAATGCCCAGAGATCTTCGGCGGCGTGGCAAAATGGAGCTGGCCCCACTTGCTGACTTAAGAGAGACTGATGCTGAAGATGTAGGGTAAGATTTCCATAGAGAACACATTATTGGCTGTGGTGTCTAGTGCCTATGTTCAGTTCCCCACAAGTTATGCAAAGATGCATTTATGGGGTATCTATTTGTTGGGCATGTCCCATCGGGAAATCTTATGGGGTCACCGTGTTATGTTTTGTGTCCTACAGTAGAATTAATTCCTCTTGTCACAGACTGGAAGCCAATACTTAGCTTCCTACAACATCCCTAGGATTGCATCCTTTCCCAGGATGCACTCCTGAACAGTTGGCTTACTACCAAATTCCTTTTTACTGCAAGAGGAACAGAAGCATCAAGGTGAAGGGAAATGTGCCCAATCATTTGTCCTACCTGGGAATTGAACCTGGGTCCCTTGGTTATTAATCGAGGCTATAGTACCCCCATATAGATGCATAATATTAGTTAGGTTCTGTATTTGTCCTGAGTCTGTTACATTGTGTGATACAATTCATTGTTTACAGTTCGTGTATGGTAACTACAGAAGTTAAATTATTTTTTTGTACCTCTTGGGCAGTTTAATCTCGGCCTTCAAATATTATTACAATATGCAGATAGAAAGTCACAATAGTGTGGCTGAAAATTAGACACCAACCCCACACATTTGAAAATGTAGGAAGTGATATCATTTTGGTCTGTCCTGAACTTAATAATGGTTTAGGATGGACTGAAATCCCATCACTTCCTCTATCATATGTATGGGATGGGCCTCTTATTTTTATAGATTAGACTAGATTTATTTTATAGACTAAGCAAAGATTGCAAAAGCAATCTTTGCTTAGTGTACTTTACTTTACGATGGTTTCAGGGGTCAATGTTCCCCCCGACCCGGTCCTCAACCAGGCCTCCTCTATGATTCATAGTGTGTGCTATGATTCAAATGTAAGAAGTGTTATTGCAAGGTTTTTAAAAAAAAATCCTGATCAAGGTTCAGCTGTGGTACAAGATGGTGGTGTTTAAAATTCAGCTACCCTGAACAAAATGTTCCATGTAGCACGGGCTGTGGTGAGCCCATAGTGGACTTACCTGGCACAGGAGCGGGGCTGTAACTGTGTGTGGTACAAGAGTTACTGTCAGTGTATACAGTACACCAAATTGATCAAAACCAAGTAATAAAGATGGTGATGCTGAGAAAATTATAGGTGTGTTAATATTTAATAATATTTTTTAGGCAGAAAGGGAGATTATCTAAAATTGGAAATGCCTTTGGTCTGAAGCATTGAGGATAAGCGACTTGACTGTACATTATATACAATACTGTACAGATAATATCTTTTCAGTAATGGGAATGCAAATCCAACACACAAACCAGAATCTGATACTGGAATTGATGATGGGTTTGGAACATCTCCAAGTCAGCCACCAACAACTGTACCACGAAGATCTCCATTTCCACACTCGCCCTCCCCAGTCCCAGGAAGTCATGGCTATATTCCGGTGGCTACAGACTTTCCAACTAATATCAAACCTGTATGTTTTATTCTTATGGCATGTTTTGCATCATATCTTTGTTGTTGTTTCAAGAAACACAACCAGTACAGCGTTCTTGCATTCCTTCTTTAATGTGCAGTACAATATGTTAAAATTACTATGCAAAATTAAATTTTAGATAGTTTGCATAGATATTAGCTTGGAGCATTTAAGCTATAGTGGCTAGTGATAGGTACTTTACTAAATAAATCATAGAAAGCTTGTAGTTACAGTAGGAGAGCTACCTTTGTGGTGACCAATCTTCCCTATAAGCTTTGTCATAATATGTTTTGAAGCTTTCACATGTCATATCACTATTATGGATGCTTAAAGTCATATTCATTTACATTTTAAATTGAAATATATATTATTGAAATTCTGTTGTGCCTAATAACATTTAATTACAGTAGTGTATATTTCAAGTTGTGGACTGATGCTGCACATAGTTTCATAAACTGGAATTAATATACACCCACATTTTCTTTTATTAAAGCCCATTATCAGGATGTAATGGGATGCAGATCAGGATAACAGAAATAGCCTAAGCTACTCTTATCTTTTTGGGATGTATTTTATTATCTCGATAAACTTGAATGCAGATAAAAATCTGGTGTCTATTAAGGATAAAGTTTATAATTAAGTCATGTGTTTATTGAGGTGTTTTAATAAGTTAAGAATCTTCTGGGCCAGCTATGGCAGTCAGTCTGATGCCATGAGTGGCATTTACAGTCAGGTGACAGGTTAATTTACAGTTACAAGTAGTTATAAGATAATTTACAAGTAGCAGTCCATGCCAAAGCAGCCAAAATAAACATTTTACTGTTTGTTTGCAATTGCCTTTGTACTTTATGAGTTTGCATTCTGCTACTTCTAGGAGTATACCTATGTGATCTGACTACTCTCATAGGTCCTAGTGTTTTTGAGGGTGGTGGATGTGTTGGCCTACAGGATGCTCCAAGCAACAGCATTTTAGTTCAAGCTATCATAAGATAAGTCTGTTTAGAGATATCTTTCTTTATCAATTTGTATTGTTTATCTGGTCTCACAATATTTAAATACCAGTAATTTAATCCATTTCCTTACAGTACTGTCCAATTTCTCTATTTCCTCACAAGACTGCAATTACTTTTAACTGGCTAACAATATGTTATTTTCTGACAGGGAAAAAAACCACTAGATGTCAATTTGTATGCAACTAAGAAGACTGTGGCACAAGGCATGATGGATCTAGCTCTGCTCACAGCTAATGCTAACCAGCTACGTTATGTTCTGGAGGCTGGGAAATTTGGCAACCTTGGCCCTAATTACTACATCAGCATAACCTTCATCTCGCTTAGCATTGTGATGCAGGTATGTGAGAATTTATATTTTATAAATATTTTGAAGCATAAAATATATATTAAATGTTTCATGGACTTTGTGAAGTTTACCTTTCAAGCTAGAGTTGATTTGTCTATTTGAGGTTAGAAAAATAAAATTCCAATTATGAGTATTGGTTGCAATTATAATACAATACGTATATAATTTGTCTTGAATGCTTATAGCCTGGTGTAAAGTTAAAATTAAAGTATGAGTATAATGAAAATTTGTCTGGAAGGCACAAATACAGTATACTGTACTAAAATATGCTCTGCATATATATATAATATATATAATAATATTGTCCCTTTTTAAAGCACAGTTTGGTCAAATAAGCAAGTGTGCATATACAGTACAGTACAGTACATGTAAGAACAAAATTAGTCTTGACTTGTATCTAGTGTCCAGAACAAGTAAGTTATTATTCAAAATGTATTGCATATTGTTGCATGCATTTGTTACTTTATATCTGTGTACATTAATTTTGTATTTGTGTACTTTTTATCACATATAATTTGTACTTCTGAGCAAATATTGAGGCCGTGAAATGAGATGGAACTTGCATCCTTGGACTCCTCAAGTACACACACACTACTGACTAAACCACAATGAAAAAAGTATCTCGTTCAGAAAGTTCTTCCTGATTTTCTTGGGGGTTTGGAAGGCACCATTTGATACCACAATCCAGTTTTTAAAAGGCTGTGTAGGTAATGATTATTCCCCAACTCTTGCCAAAGTGTGGTGAGTATCTCATAAAGCTTGGATAGTATCATCGAAGGCACGATGTATCAGATCGTGCCTTCCAAACTTCAAGACTAAATCTGGTAGAACTTCTGGTAAAGATTATTTTATGCTCATCATGGTTGTCGGTGGTTGTGTGTTACTGGGTAGTCCAGAAGTGCGGGTTCAGACCCATAGCATAGCTTCTGTACTTATAAATACATGTTCTTGTGTTTTCATTGCATTTGTAAGTCTGTCATCTCTTTGTCTTGCATACTAGTAATGTATTTCATAATGTCTCGGGGGTATTAAATTACATGGTAGTTTCATGATTATCATCACGGTTGCAGCTTGTGATTGGTGTGGCTTTAATCTTCATGGGCAGATACAATGTGTCACACGAGGCCCATGCACAGAAAGCGGATGCCCTCAACAACTGGATAGTTCTTGGTGTCTTTATCATCACTGTGATCAATGTTTTCATATCAGCTTTTGCTATTGAACCCACGGAAGGCTATGACCCTGTTCTTTTGAAAGCTGCTATGATTACCGAGTCACCTGCTGCAGAGGTGATAGGTAATTAGAACTTGGGTAAGGAAGTAACAAGAGTTTTGACAAATACACCAGTATAAAATATTTTGTTGTATTTAATTCCATTTAGTGCAGTAAACACTGTTTTCAGATCAAATTCATGCATTACTGTATATTATTGTTCAATCACTTATTCACTAAATGGTAAGAATCTCACCATATCATTCATATATACAGTATACTGTAGATATATGTGTGTGTAAATCACAGAAATTAACACGTGATGAACAATGTGACAGTGTCAGACCACATTCAGAGTTTGTGTCAGACCACTTAAATACAAAAGTACTTAAGGAAATTCCTGTTTCAATCCTTCCTTCATGGTCTGACACTCACATTTTTCATCACGTGTTAATTTTCGTGATTTACACACACATAATACAGTATGTATGTATGTAATCCAGATGGTTTATAATGAACACATTTTTGTGTGCCTTTGTAAAAAGTTTTATTTTTAAATGTTAGCAAGCAGCTGTATAATTCACATTTCCACCATACAGTATTTATATGAGAACACTTAATCTTAAGTGCATAAACTTAATAATATTATTACTCAAAATTCACTTTGTTTTTCAAAGTTTGCTCCACTTATTTAGTGATATTTAATTCTTAATTATTTCATATATTTTTTCACATATGAATGAACATGATCACTTCTTTATCAGCCTAATTGCTCAGTTCAAAAATATTGAGAGCACAGATATTATTTATAATGATTTTATGTGTGTATAAAAGGGTATATTTTAACAAAAACTGAAGGTAGTTCACAGCCCTGAAATAGGTTTTCCGAGTACTACAAAACTTGGAGAACTACAGTCACTCAGACATGATGTTATGTTCATTTCAATAGCATCCTAGAGAAAGTTTCTTCCCTTTGGCCCTCTACAACTATAATATTTATGAAGCCTTGTTCATTATGAAAACATTAATAATATATTATATAGAATAATGATGAATAATTAAAAAAGGACACAGAATGTATGAGTTACATTAGTGGGCAAAATTATTTCTTTTATTATGTTTTAAAATAGAAATGACTTTTACCAAGTCTCTTGTGTATTACAATATCTTGAGAAAACATATACAGTACATATTGAGTCAATGGATTCAGTAAGAAAATTTAGCATTTTCGCTTGCCAGGCAAGCGAGTGCCAGATCACCCCAAGGTCTGCAGCGCAGTTTTTTAATTTTGGTTTTCACTCTTTTTCAATTTTGTCATGTCAATTCTTGTCCTAGGTCTTGCATTTTGGTATCAATGTGTTCGTAATAGAATTCCCTACAGGAGTATATGCATATAAAGTCCAAAAGTGCGATGTACCACCCCACAGCAAACAGAGAAAGTGGCATTGCATTACCCATGAGCGCTCAAGAGCAGTAAAATGTGTGTACTCTTTTCAACTTTGTCACTTCAATTCTTGTCCTAGCTCTTTCATTTTGGTGTCAATGTGTTCGCAGTGAAGTTCCCTACAGGAGTACAGAACAATATATGCATATAATGTCCAAATCTACGGCGCGCCTCTCCCGCAGCCAAGCCGAAAGCAGGCCAAATTTGTTAATTTTTTATCCCATACTGCGTCATTAATGCACATTTGTCTACTAAATTTTTTACACCATACTGCGTCATTACCGTGCAAAAATGCTAACACATTTTATGCTAAGAAGTGTCTTGTCAGATGATTCTTAACAGTTACATCAATTCATTGATGTGTAACCAGGCATCTGAGTTATAGTGTTGAGAATTGGAAACAATTGTTTAAACATGTCACAGTAAAATTTGATGTGGGTGATGAAAATATACTTTTAATTTTAGTTATGGTGAAATGCAGCTGTCCTAAGGGGATATACTGCATTGTTTACAATATTTGAAGTGAAAGTTAGGAAGATCATTGAAAGAATTGCATATTCAAAATTTGTCAAGCCAGGATGAGCTGTGCAAGAATTTAACGATTGTTAATGTTTTAAGTCAAGTAGATGAGCATACCAGTGACAAGCTGAATGAGCATATAATCTTCTATGATGCAGAAGAGATTTAAATATTTTCCAAGAATTCTTTTGTTGGTCTTCCCTTCATTCTTGTGTAGATTGGTGCATTAGTGCCTTGAAACCTCACAATGGATAGGTTCATAAATGCTTATAGTGCATTAGTGCTTGAAAAGTGACTAGACCTATCATATAAAAATAAGAGTCCATATGATGGGATTGAACCAGCAACCCTGGTTCAGTTAGCAGTGTGTGTGGCTGTGGAGTCCAGGGATGCCAGTTCGATCCCATTGTATGGCCTCTGTATTTTCTCAGACACATCATGTTGTTGTGATTTCATGATATAATGGTTCTCATTTACTTAGAAGGTGCTGTAAGACTATTATTTTACTATATGTACTATATCTTCATGCACTATATATTGTTTATACATATAACCATTTTACAGTATCATACATTTTTACCCTTGTGGCTATACAGTACTGTATAGATATTTAATTTCTATAAACATTCTCACATCTGTTAGCCTTGATATTTTTTTGTTTCCATTTAATTTCTGTATCATGTCCCCCACCCCTCAAGTACTCTACTGCCATCTTGCAAGGTTCATGTACGTGGCACACCTAACTGTTGTTGTTCACCTGTGCTCTTTGGATATAACTACTTTCACTTGGCAAGTTCTGTTTATATGTTGACATCCTTAATTGACTGACTATCTCTTAAACAATTTATTCTCCCCGGCAATTCCTCTTCTAAGGGACAACTCGTCCGCCTTTGACAATGCGCCATGACAGGAAATCTACCTTCAACCCTATTTATATAGTCGTCTAACATTTGTTACTAATTTCTCATGCTTCACACTTTAACGCAATAAACCAACATTATTCCAGCATGCCTAAAGCATTGTAAAGTATTTTCTGAATTCACCTTACTTACCTACACATTGTGTCTGCTTGTACTCTGCCATCTTCCATCTTCTGTACAGTTGTTAATACCACATGAAATTTTAAGTACAATAAACCCCCCACATGTGAATTTTCAACATTTATTCGTATTTTAACAAGAAATGTATATATAAGCCTGTTTTATGGCATACATTAGAACATTTAATGATTTTGCTATTTACCTTTTTTGTGTATCAAGGATTTGTAGATTAGAGCACTTCAAATTCTTTAACATATCTGGGATTTTTGTCACGTGCAGTCAGCTTATTGCCTGTAAACATTCCTGTGGGTTTTTATGAACATTACATGTATTTGACTTTTGTGGCTAGTTCCAAGCTGGGGGGAAAAATAAGGAGAATGACATTTGATAGACTGAAACAAAGGAATCAATGAGAAGTGTTTAAATTACATATAAAGTGATACTTCACAATAAGATAGACTGTATAGGCATTAATTAAAAATGCAAATGCTTAGTGAGCTCTATCCATGTTTCATATTAAAATTATCTATCACACTCCTGTGATTACCTATTTACATTTTGATTTATGTATAACACAGCCATTGCCAAATGTAATATAATTTTTCCTTTAATCCTTTTTGGCTAATTAAGTCCTACATCGTAGTGTGCTTAAAAAGAGTACTTGGCAATTCGACCAAAGGGGGCAGTTGCAGATAGTGATTGGAGCCTGTAAAGTGTTAAGTGTATTTAAACAAAAACAATTCTTAACACTTGATTAAACAACTTAAAGCTTGCCAATTACCTGGGAACAGCCAATCACAGCACACATTGTGCATACTAACTAACAACATATGAGTTAAAGAGACTGCATATGTGATTTGAATACTGTAGTATGACAGTTTTCAATCATGTACATTAAGTAAATGATTGAAAAAAAATGGGAAATTTTTAGTACAAATGAAATTGTGATAATATCTGTACAAGATTTCCACAAAATACAGTGATAACCTTTTACAACAATTTTCAAAGTACTGTACAAAAGATTTTTTTCTTTTTGTATCTATGTAAAGGTTTATAGCGACAAGTGTATATAAATAATACTTAAGTCATATTATAGTAGTGTTCAGCATACAGTACTGGTAATAATGTAGAAATACCCACGCCCCCAGTACATAATATTTGTGTGAATATCTTTCCTTCCCCAGGCTTTCTGTGACCAGGCAATTCTTTGTTTTGCAGGCGATGAGTCACAATAACGTGGCTAAAGTATGCTGACCAGACCACACACTAGAAGGTGAAGAGACGACGACGTTTCGGTCCATCCTGGACCATTCTCAAGTCGATTGTCACACAATCGACTTGAGAATGGTCCAGGACGTCGTTGTCGTCTTTTCACCTTCTAGTGTGTGGTCTGGTCAACAATTTTTTGTTTTGTTTACGTATAACTTGTAACAGTTAAATACTTCTTGCACTTCAGAGTTTGACAAGGTCTATGGAAACAATTTTCCAAACATGTGAGGATTTACTGGAATTCATATCAACAGTTGCATTTCAGCTTTTATCTTGTTAGTTTTCACATTTCATTCTTAGTTGGAGTTGTAAGCATGATGTTTCACACATGTAAATTCTTACCCTGAGATCTGATTGCCACCTTCGATGCACCACTGTCCCCTATATTTTTCGCTGCTCTGCTCTTGCACAATATTTATCCAAATACAGTGTTAATTCCTGTGCCTCTTTTTATATCACACTGTGCAAAGCTCATTCACCAATTTCTGTACATAATTTCTTTTAACAATGTTATCAATAGTACTAGGAAAAAGACTGGTCAACAGATACTGTTTTGTTTGTAGATACAGAATCTAAACAAATTTTGTACGAGTTGCATTGTACCTTGTTCCGTTGAATACAAGTGGAGCTCCCATGTCCTTTACAGCAAAAACAAATTAGTCTTGCTTCTATTTACTTTTGATATATTTACCCTTAATATTTGTACGAGTTGCATTGTACCTTGTTCCGATGAATATAAGTGGAGCTCCCATGTCCTTCATAACAAAAACAAATTAGTCTTGCTTCTGTTTACCTTTGATATTCCTACTCATTTAATATTTAAACTTTTCATCAAAGCAATTTACTACCCTGCAGTTTATAACCATCTCGCTGATGAATAACAGATGTGTGCAGATTTTGTTGTAACTTAAGTATAGAATCTTTCCCACATTTTGTAGGGTCAGCCAGCCATGTCTTATCATAAGTGTCCCATAAAATTGTTTAATATCAGCTCCCTACTCGACTGTGATTTACTTTGATATTACATAATGTTAAACTATGCACAGGGTGTCATTAACACATTTTACCTTGATATTGATATTATTGTTAAACTTCATACTGTAGTATGTTATTAGTGCACTTTTTAATTTGAACACCGACATGTACTAAAGTTTTTGTTAATTTCATAACATTTTCATTTAAGATAAATGATAGTCCAAGTGTCATGTTCCACATGGGGTGAGTCATACCCAGTCCTTATTCAGTTATTTTTTCCTTAAGCTGTTAACTGGTTCATTATACAGTACTTGTTCTGAGTGAACCATAGTACAGTACATCACTTCTACATCTGTGGTAGGGATGGTTTTCTTGCCACTGATACCGGTGTTGGTACTATTTTACCTCGTTTCCTTTTGTAACACAATTGTAACAAAACAAATTCATAATGTCATGTGCAGTAAGTCCTGATTTGATGTACTGTAGTAGCCAAAAATTGGCTAAAGACTTGTTAATATCACTGTGATCAAATATGTTTATATGAATATCTAATTTTTTAATTACTCATAAAGCATGGCAAACACATTACCAAAGAAAGATGACATTAATGTGAGCCACAGAATGTCAAATATTTTTTATAACAAGACTTACATAAAGAAAAAATGCATGCATAAAGAAAAGACTTGCATGCACAGCAAGAAAAACTTGTGTATTCTTGTATCAAAGGTTGACCAAGTTATTGTATTAGTTAAGTATACAGAAAGTAACATTGGACCTCATTGTGGGGTGCCCAGAAAAATAAAAAATGAATATCCTTCTGTATTGCATTTACAAAGATTAAATTTTTTTTTATGATTCTGAACTTCAGAAGTTATGTGGAAAACAATTGAAATCTAGAGTTAGCAGAATTGGAACTAGGGACTGGGAGTGTCCAAGACCTGCTTCCAAACTGCAGATCCTCAACATTTACCCCAGTGATTCCTTGTTGAATGTCCTTATTTTCAAGGATGCTAGTCTTGCTTTCTGAATGTCCCATCACTTGGTCCGTGATAGAATGCTTGGGTTAACTGATGCCTTTGAAGTTGTTATTCTTCTGTCTATTTGCTCTTGTATTGGCATCCTGAGCATCATTTAAAACCTTTGGAATATCCTATGACAGTGACAAATAGTTTTTGTACTTTTGTGCCTTATTTTGATAATTACTTACCCAATGACAACACAGCAGTCTGTGTGTTCTTAGATACCCCCCAAATCCCATTTTGAACTATTCTTGCAGCCTACTCTAAATTTGAATAACGTTTCATATATGCACATCACTATACAATTAATGAGAAAATCAATTGGAGCAGTGAGATGACTCAAACCTGTGATCAAGGAAATCCCTGCACCACGACTTTAAATCTTTACCCCTCTGCACCACAACTTGGTTTAACTTATACAGTCTGGGACTGTATAACTTATAGGGGTAAGGTGCGTGACTAGGAGTTCCTTGATCACCGGTTCGAGTCACCTCATTGCTCCAGTTGATTTTCTCATTCATATATATATATATCAATTAGTGAGATTACTTTGTATAAAATTAATGTTGTATTTGCAATAAATTTTAATCATACAAGATATAAATGTACTCTAATATTGCCTAACTTCTAGAATTTAGTTGTGAATATGACAATAAATACCAGTAATTCAATTGGTCAGTAGATGTATATTGCTAACAATCTTGAAGACTTACATCTTATAGATCTTGGCTTTCTTTATTTATCCATGATATGTTGGATAAATAAACATATCTAAATAGTAATCATTATTGCCTATTTTGTTGCTTATCAGTCCAGAGGGGGGAAAAAATATTTGTCTGTTCCATATATCATGCACACTAAATGATCTCATGGAGAAAGATACATTTAGCAAGGGCGCCTGACAGCTGAGTGGACAGCGATTCGGATTCATAGTCCTAAGGTTCCAGGTTCGATCCCTGGTGCGAGGCGGAAACAAAAATGGGCAGAGTTTTGTTCACCCTGGTGCTCCTGTTCACCTAGCAGTAAATAGGTACCTGGGAGTTAGACAGCTGCTATGGGCTGCTTCCTAGGAACGTGTAACAAAAAGGAGGCCTGGTCGAGGACCGGGATGCTATGCTCCGAAATCATCTCAAGATAACCTCAAGATGCCTTCGATAAGTGTTCATGCATTTCTTTTATGGTAAGATAAAAAGCGAACAGTTGTCGTTGATATTGCTACCATTTGTGATAAATTTTACTCTAATACAGTTGTACTTGTACTGTATGTTTATATAGTTTATACTGTATTTACAGTGTAGGTAATATACATAGTATTGGTATCCAGTTAACAGTGTAACTGTTAACTGGATACAAAAAACTGAAACCTAGTTTCAAATTTCAAATATAGGAGAAATATTGTATAGTTGATATATCTGTATATTAGTATCTATTTTATAGTGTTCGTGATATAGAGAATATAGCAAATATCTATTATGTTATCTTTTTGTTACAAAATATTTTAAATATAATCATGAGTGCCTATGTGTTCTGAAATGTGCCTCTCATTCTTGACAATCATTGTGGTGCCTTAAATCTTATGTAAACATGTTTGTGCGTGAGTTGGATCATCTGATTTACCTGGGGTATTGGGGCCGTATGTTAGTTGTTAATAAACACTACAGTAGGCCTTTTCACTCATGCCAGTTCCATCTCTTGGTGACCCCCAAAAAATTGTGCAATGTTTTTGTTTATTTAAAACAATTTGCTTAGATAATTTATTTGTTTACAAACATTTTGTACTACAGTATATATATCAATATCCTGTATGTATACTTCCTGAAGTATCTTCAGTTATTCATAAAAGTTAGAGAATATTGTTCATCAGTTGATTTCATTTAACTAGATCATCAGAGATTCGAACTTGGGTTTCAAAAGTATGAGACACATCCTACTAATCAGACCATGGATGATCACAAGGGAAGGATCTTAAGTACCTAACTGGAACCCCAATTGAAACTTTAGACCTTCCCTGGAGTACCACTGAGGTATCTGAAAGTTTTTCACTCTTCTATCCTTGTCATATAAAATGCAATGCACAATAACATGCATAACATACTTTTGAGGTGCGGGTTGGAAGCTTCAGTGAATTAAATGTTATTTTCCACGCTATTGTGGAATGCATTTTATCAGTTGTTACTCTTGAGAATGAATATATGGAACTGTACTATGTCTCCCTCACGGTCACTTGTCCCTCGATAGAATTCTAGGTGAATCGGATACTTTTGATATTGTTCGCCTTATGCATTTTTGTTCTCGTATTGGCATTCTTGGTGATATTTAGTGCCCTCTGAT